GCTCCATATTCTGGTTAAAGGGAGGCATTTTAATCATCAGGTGCTTAGATATTGCTGATTGGCCAAATTGCCATAAGCCCTGCCAAGCACTTTTCTGTAGTTAGCCCCTTGTGGATTAAACATAAGCAGTTTGAAGGCAAGTCCCAGTCTTTGAGCAGTACTGCTGTAGGCAAGAGAGGCAGTGATGAGATCCTCAGAAAAAAGATCCAGAGAAGGAGTTTACAAACCAACAGAGAGAGGAGAGCAAGGACATCTTGGGAAGAGAAAGGAGAGGACTGTGTTAACTGTAAGAAAGGTCAAGCTTTGGGGTGAAGGACTGCCGAACAGTCACTGGACTGATAATCAGGAATATGGGTGATCTTTCAAAGAGTGATTTCAGTAGAGTGCTAGAGGTGCAGTGGAAGGAAATCAGACATTAGAAGCTAAAAACTGGAGAGGAAGCAAGAGCCAGTGGGAGACAACACTTTCAAGGCACTAGCCGGTAAAGAGATACACTAAAGAAAGATTCTGCAGGGTGAATAAGACTCAAAAACATCTTCCTGTCAAGGAAGGGGTCTCAAGCTGAAGAAAGGTTTCTCCCCAGACAGAAAATTGAAGACAGCATTATTTCTGGTGACAGGGTAGGGTGTTCGCAGCAGTCTTCTTAAATTACTATGCAGGTGAGGGGAGCTCAGAGAAACTTCTTTTAAAACTCTGTATGATTTCTAATACAAAGGGCCTTCCGAAGTTCAAAGAGAAATACAAGTTAAGGTTCTATGCATTTTTTCATAATACATATTTTTTTGGGCCCGGAGTGGCAGCCTAGTGACTAAAGTCCTCGCCTTGCATGTGATGAAATCTCACATGGGCACTGGTTCGTGTCCCAGCGGCCCTGGTTCCTGTCTAGCTCCCTGCTTGCAGCCTGGGAGGGCAGTGAAGGATGGCATAAAACCCTAAGGAGGTCTCCTCCAAAGCTGGAGGAGGCTTCTTGCTCCTGATCAGCTCAGCTCTGGCCGTACTGGCTACCTGGGGAATGAATCAGTGGGTGGAAGATCTTCCTCTCTGTCTCTCCTCCTGTCTGTATATCTGACTTTCCAATACAAATAAATAAATCTTAAAAAAATACATATTTATCTTAAAATTAAAATGCCCTAGGGAACATGATTCAATTAATTCAGGAAAAAAGATCTGCATCTTTTTATAAGTGTTCTTTGCTCTATGCTGATTGTTGGCAAGTCATTCCCAAATGAGGAGAGTCCAAGCCCCCGGATTTCCTCTGCCCTCCTGCCCTCACTGCTTCTAACCAGGAAGCATTTACTGAGTGCTGGGCAGGAAGGCTACATCAGAGTCTACAGTTGGGTCTTCATCCTAAAGGAGGTTCTCAGGAGAAATACTGTGGGTCATGATGATTTCTCATACAGTTGGAACTAGCAGCTTACATGAGTTCAGTTCCAGGTTTGGTTCAACCAGCAGCTCTGTTATATCCTCAAAGACCCAGATTTTTTTTCCCTTCCTGTACCAGTCTCAGCATTTCTGCCTTCTCCCTAGGTCAGCCTGCCTCAGGTTACAACGGCTGCAGCAGTTCTAAGTGTCACCTTCTCATTGTAGTCAAGAGGCAGAATTGCATCACCCTGGGCTTCCCTTTCTCAGGCTCCCAGGGGACCAACCATCCCTCACCTCCCAAAGGTCAAGCCTGTATCCTGAGCTCTGGCCTAAATAGTGAGAAGGTGAATGGGATATCGCTTGACCTGTATTCATTGTCTAGAGCTGGATCTGAGCCTTCCTCTTGAAGTCAGGCAAGACTGGCTACTGAGTCCGCCAGTGCTTGCCATGCATTCATACATCCTCACATATGTCCTGGCACACAGAGCCCTTCAAAAAGTTCATGGATAATGGAATTAAAAGATAAATTATTATTGATGCCAAATTTTGATGTTCATGCATATGAAGGATACTCAAAAAGCTCATGCTGGGGATGGCATAGTGGTTCATCAGGCTAATCCTCTGTTTAGCAGTTCAAGCATCACATATGGGTGTCAGTTCATGTCCAGGTTGCTCCACTTCCCACCCAGCTCCCTGCTTATGGCCCAGGAACACAGCAGAAGATGGTCCAAAGCCTTGGTAACATACAACCATGTGGTAGACCTAGAAGAAGCTCCTATTTATTTGGATTGGCGTATCTCCGACGTTGTGGCCCTCTGGGAAGTGAACCAAATGGGGATGGAAGAGTTTTCTCTTTGTCTTTTTCTCTGTAAATCTGCCTTTCAAGTAAAAATAAATAAATATTTTTTTAAAGTTCATGGAAACATGTATTATGAAAAAACTGCATAATTTCAAAATTTTGCATTCTATCTGCCACCAACTTTTAAATTAAAACACCTGCCACAGGTATGGCAGGTATGGCCCTGGTTTCCTGGTCCAGGTCCGTGGGTCCACCTGTGCGGTGGGTACCAGGTCTGTGAGTCCCAGGGATGAGGATCCTTGGTTCCCACCTGTGAGAACTTCTCCTCCTCAGTGAAAGAGATGGAGCAGTGGAGGCAGGCCCTCATGCACATGGAGGATATGGTAGTCCATTGGAGCCTGCAGAGGACATCTGGTACCATAGCAGAGAAGGAGAACAGAACAAACTGGACAACGACACCAGCCAAACAATGACTGCAAATAACTGAGTGAATGAAGACTCTAAGGTCGACTATGTTAGCCAATGGATATCGAAAGGCTTCCCTCATCCCTGGATCAGCGAGATCGACAGCATTTCAGAACTATCAACACCACCTGGGCAGAACGCTTGGCGTGTGTGCCACATCGGGACCCTGGGTTGATTATTGGGTCACCGTTTCCCATCCCTGGGTACTGAGGTGGTGGGGGAGCAGGGAATGGCTTCTCCCCGAAACAGGAAGAAGAAACAGAAAAGTTGGAAACAATGCTCACACTCACTTTCCCCTAACCCTTGATCCCTCCCTGCCTGACCATCTATGTAAACATCATCAAAAATTAAAAAAAAAAAAAACAAAAAAAAACAAAAAAACACTTACCACAGAGAAACGAGATAGACTGTGCGACTTGCTGGGCTAAACTCAGGGAGATCTCTAGCCAGGAACTCCTGGGAGGTTTCTGCTGCCTTGGGCCCTACTCAGCTGTTCTAGGGCAAGCGGACTGACATCAGAGCAAAAGTGTATTTTATTCACAGAACCTTAATGGGAGAATTCTGACTGGTGGATCAACAGTGTCTGCCAAAGAGAGAAAAACATTCAAATTTGTTACTGTCAAGAAATACCGAGAGTCAGAGCCACACGGCCTCACTGTTTCACCCTGGTGGTGGTTCCAGTTCTGTGGTGTCTCTGTGCCCTGGCACCCACTGCTCTCTCCTGGCTTTTTCAATGGAATGCAACACAGAAGTGAACTTCAAGCTCTCTACCAGCCACTTGCTCTGTGATGCTGGTCAGTCATGAACTTCTCCAAGCCGGTTTCTCCTTCTATTATGTGAAAGGCTAATACGAGGTTACTTCAAAAACTTCACAGGGGAAATAGAATTTTTTAAAGTTTATTTGGGGCCTGGTGCAGTATGCTAATTCTTGGCCCTTTGGCACAGGCATCCCATATGCGCACTGGTTAGTGTCCTGGCTGCTCCACTTCTGATCCAGCTCCCTGTGGGAGCTGGCGTGGGAAAATGGCAGTTGGATGGCCCAGGTACTAGGGACCCTGCACCCATGTGGGGGACCTGGAAGAAACTCCAGGCTCCAAGCTTCAGACCAGCTCAGCTCTGACTGTTGTGGTCATTTGGGGTGTGAACAAGTGGTTGCAAAGCCTCCCCCACCAATCTCTTACTCTGCCTTTCTAGTGAAAATCAATAAATCTTTGAACGTTTATTTGGATGCAAACACTTTCAACATCATAGTGCTTTCTCCCAGAATATATTTTCCATGAACCTTGTGAAGATTCCTAATGTGGATTTCAACATGTTTTGGCATGGAACTGCATCTATTTTTTAAAGATTTTTTTCTTTATCAGAATCACATATTTACAGAGAGATAGACAAAGATCTTCCATCTGCTGATTCACTCCCCAAATGGTCCCAACAAGTCAGAGCTGAACTGATCTGAAGCCAGGAGCTTCTTCTGGGTCTCCCAAGGCTTTGGGCCATCAACTGCTGCTTCCTCAAGACACAGTCATGGAGCTAGATGGGAAGTGGGGCTGCCTGGACATAAACCGGTGCCCAGATGTGACCCTGGTGTTTTGTGAGGGGATAATTAGCTAAATGAGCCTTCCAGCCAGATCCCAATACATCTACTTCTAATGTCATTTTCACCAACTTTTCAAAGTACCCCTGCCCCTACCCCAAGTCAACTTTAAAGGGGCCGCTTCTAAGGATTCATTGGGCCAATTATACAGAAGGTGCTCAGCACAGTCTAGTCCTAAATATGAGGTTGGCTTAGTAAACTTTTATTCAGTTGCTCCTGCTCCTCTGGAAGTTCCCTGAGCGGTGTGGAGGATGCCGCTTGCTTTCCCATCACCATGAAGGCCTTTTATTACGCGGGGGTCTCCTTTCGGGCACCCAGCCTCGGGCCGTCCAACCAGCGACCCCCGACTTCCCATTTTAGGGTGGTCAGCAAAGCCAGCCGCCCCCACTCGCTGTTCCCCAATCGCTTTCTGTTTGGGCCGAGGGCCGAGGGCCGGGGAGGCAGGGCGGTGCCCGCGGGCCTGAGGGGCGTGCCCGCCCAGGGTGCGCTCGCCCTCCCTCACGGCCCCCCGACAGCGGCGGGGAACCCGGTGTCACCCACCAGGTTTCTTCCGAAAGTCGCGACACAGGCACGCCCACCCGGCAGGGCACAGTTTCGGGGAAAGACCAGTCCGGATAGTGGTCCCTTGCTCCCAGGGAAAGGCCTGCAGCCGGGCCTGGCCTTCCCACGCCGCCCGGGCCGCCCGCGCCCTCGGGAGGTGCCGGCGCCCCGATTCCCCCCGAAAAGACGCTGGCGGGCCCTGGAGCCTCGCGGACGTGACGCCGCGGGCGGAAGTGACGTTTTCCCGCGGTTGGACGCGGCGCTCGGTTGCCGGGCGGGGGAGGGCGCGTCCGGTTTTTCTCAGGGGACGTTCAAATTATTTTTGTAACGGGAGTCGGGAGGGGACGGGGCGTGTCCCGAGGTGCGCGCGCGTCGGCCTCCTCCGCGCTGCTGCTCAGCTCGTAACTCCAGCACTGAGAGGGCGTCATGCCTCCCAAAACCCCCCGAAGAGCGGTCGCTGCCGCTACCGCCGCCGTGGAACCCCCAGCGCCGCCGCCCCCTCCTGAGGAGGACGCGGAACGGGACAGCGGTCCCGAAGACCTGCCTCTGGCCAGGTGAGCGAGCGCAGCCGCCGCCGCCGCCGCCACGGTGGGCGCGAGAGAGGGGCACTCCGTGGGTGCCGAGGCGGCCGGGCGCATCTCGTCCCGGGGCCGGACCCGGCGGCTGGAGGGTCCCTCCGCGTCCCTCACGGCTTAGGGGAGCGTCTGCGGGACGGTGACAGAGATCGGGGATCGCGAGCCCGGGGAGAGGAGTGCTGGAGGGGTCTCGGCTCCAGCTTGACAGGTGTCGGGCGGGTGAGGCTCGGGTCCCCGAGCGAAGTGACAGGTGCAGTCTCCTCTAGCCAGACGGAGCTTCGCAGCCGACGGCTGGATGTGAGCTATCAGACGGTGCAAAAAATATTGTTCTTCAAGTACAAAAAAATGTGACTGGTTGTGTGTTGGAGAGTTTTTCTTCTGATCGGCGCTTGCCTTTCTTTTTGGGGGGCGAGGAGGGAGGCTCCTGCGATGCAACAGTTGAAAGTTTTCCTCCTCTGTGTTTGCGCTGCTTGGGAAGCCTAGACTTGGGAGAGGCCAGGAAAAGGCCTTGGACGTGAAGGGCGGGGAGCCGAGTGTCAATTGCCCACGGGCTACGCAGCGGCGAGGCTTTGTGGGGTTCCCTAGAACAATGCGTGGAGGCCTTGAGGCTTTAAAGTCATCTGTAGACACTTGGAGAAGCCAAACTTGAGGGAACCGGCCGGTGCGCCAAAACTTCATTGAGACCTTTAACAAAGTGCTTGAAAGTTACTAAACCTTTCGTTTTCTGCTTGCCTTTTTTTTTCCCCCTGTTGGATAGAACTCTTGTGTGTTTGCGGGCCTTGGCACGCCTTATTATTTATTTCTTCCATTTTGCCTTTCACTTTGGGTCAGCAGGGATTCTGGGGTCCCCTATTTTCGGTTTTGTTAGATTTTGGTACAAAAATTGGTGCTGTTTTTCTGCTCACGTGGAACTCCCCACCCCCCCAGAACCTCTCTCTGCCCTCCTCCCTCTTTCCCTGCCTTAGCGAGTGGAATCTTGGACGCAGGACTACGTGACCGGGAGGGAGATATATTCGTTGTATTGCAACACCTTTTTCTTGATTGTGCTACTTTTGCGGTGAGGCAACTAGGACTGAGCGGCCGAGGTTGTGTTATTTATTGTCTGTGGTGGCTTTCCTTGGAAAGAGTTCGGATCCATGGCAGGGGTATGCCACTCTTGTTTTCTAGTGGCACTCCCTCCCCTGTTCCCCCCAAGTCCTGTTTTATTTCCGCTGAATAGTATCTTTCTTTCCACTCCAGACTCCTAACAAAGCTCAGACAAAATTGTAAAACATTGAAATACTATTTTGCGGTTCTATTAAAAATTCATGTAATTAAAAAGACCATCTTGTGAGTCAGTTAGAAATCATACACTCACTAGCGAAAGCAAGAACAAACCCAGATTTGAGGGGTATCCAGGGAGAAGACATCATTTTAGTTTCTGATTAAATTCCACTGTACCCGTACCCGTCCTTGAAAAGAGCGGTGTGGTGTGTCTGTTTTAAAGAAGCATTTTCAAAGATTGCATGATAACCAGAAATATTAAAGTTCTGGCCATCCCCTGGGGGAAAGAATACTTTTGTTTCCTTCATTTTTCGTCCAGCAGACGTCGGAGATATGGCAGATTGCATTCCGGAGCGCTGCCATAAAGTGTATATGGCAGTATAGTGAGTAACTTGGGTTTTTTCCCTTGTTCACTTACATTTATTTTTATACTATGCTGTGTTCTCTCCAGTGCACGTTTGCATTGTGATTCAATACACAATGTACATTGCTTAATTTTAAGAAATATTTTTTTTGTGAGAAAATGCTAGCAGCCACCCAAGCCATTGCAAAAATGCTAAAAAACTTTCTCTGTCTTTGCGAGATTCCCAAATTTTCTATTTGTAAAGCAATGCAGTATCTGTGTTGTGCAGTAAGGCATAGTACAATAAAATGAGATATGCTTATAATCTTCAATGATGGAATTACAAATGAATTTTCCTACATGTCAGACCCATACAAGAGATTATTTTGTTCATTTTTGTTCAAACACAGAGTTTCATTAGCATGGAGAGTCTAGCTCTACAGATTAACTGTAGCCATGTGCCACATAACACTAGGGCTGTGTTCTGAGAAATGCACTGTTGGGTGATTTCATTGTTGTGTGAATGTCATAGAATGTACTACAGGAACCTGGATTCAGTTGAACAATAACCCCAAATGGCCTCTTGGTGCACCAAGATTTGTTAAACATGAATATATGTGACTGCTGCCACTGAAACATGGTATTCTGTTTTATAGTAAATTTTATTTTTATGATTGGAAGGAATATGTTCTAAAATAGCAATGAAAAAGCATAGTGTAGTGAATACCTAAACCAGTAGTGTCATTTTTGGTGATTATGATTAAGTGTTCTTTCACATGAATACTAATGTCACCATAGTATGTCTACATCTGCATCACCCAAACACGTAATTAGTGCTATGCACTAAGGTACTAGGGCTACTCTAGACCTAACAGGCAATAGGAATTTTTTTAATCTCATTTGGACCTCTTACATAAATGCTACCCATTGCAAACTGAGATGTTGTTGAGCAGTGCATGACTGGACTTAACAGAAGTTGAACCACTGCTTGGCATTCTGAAGTTAGGAATGCTTAGAGGTAGATTCACTGGTCCAGTCCAGGCACACTTAACTGACAAGGTCCATTTCTATTTGAGTATTGAGATCTCATTCCTGTTGCAGTAGCTCTTGCCTAAATGATACAATTGCAAGGGAAACTGTCACTAGAAACTATATGCCATCTTTATTGTTGAAATAACCTAAACTTAATAATGTTTTCAAAAAGGACTAAATCCCAGATGACAGCCACCACGTGCTCCCTTCGGGGTGAGTACACCGAGGGGGTAGGTCTCTGTGACTGGGCAGGTCTGGGGCCCACTTGTCGCCCTCACTGTGCGGTGAATGGGATTGGGGAGGGTCGTGACCTTGGACCTGGGGGTTTAAACTTCCAGCAGCCTCTCGGCTGCTGGTGGGTCTCAGGACAGGACGTCTCATGCCTGGATCCCAGATGACAGCTGCCATGTGCACGTGGTGAGCTGTCCCCAGGCGGCCAGAGCGCTACTTGGTGCCAGGCTCCGCCTGCTGGCCGCCCGGCTTGGACCTCTGGGGTTTTGGTTCTTTGAATCGCTGCTTAGGTAGCTCCAGGTTAAACCCACTATGCTTCTAGGACGTGAATCAATCCTAAAGACAGTAACTCTTCCTTTGTAGAACCTGTAGTGTCTGAACAATGCTGACCACCAAATACCAGTCCATGCAAAAGCTATGGCTTGGGGCTCGTCCATCAGAATCATATCCTGTTACCTGACATGATGATGGATCAGGAGAAGGGTCACATTAGGCAGGGCCATTACATTAACTAGCACTCGAGAACCATATCTGGGGGTAGATTCTGTGGGGGATGTATGGGCCAAACCCTGTGGAAATTCTAGCCCCACTGGTTAGCTCAAAAGTTGGGGTGGTGATGGACTAAGCTAGGTGTGACCAAGGAACCTGCCATCAATCACAGATAAAGGAACCCGCAACAGTCTGGACTGGTCAAGGCAGCAGCACCCAAATGTGCATCCTGAATAGGGTATGGGGTGGACTGGGCTGCAACATTCACCAGCTCATACAAGGCCAAATGAAAGGCCAGACTTTGCCGGAACCTGGCCTAAACCCAATGGCATGTATGAGAACTCGGTCTGGGAGTGGATTAAATGGAGGAACTTGGGAAACTTCCTTGGCAAGTCATAGCTCCTGCTGGTGAACATGTGGTCCAGACCTGGGTATTGGAGAAGCTGGGCAAAGTAGCTCCAACAGCTGGCTAATGTATCAATTGGTAATGGAACAGGGTGAACTGGGCAGGACTGAGCAAACCTTAGCCCATAAGTGAAACTAGAGACCAGGACGGAACACAGGTGATGCCGAGCTAGGCTCTTGTAACTACTGGTCTGTGTGAGCCAGGAACGCTAAGCCACAGTGTCTAAAGCAGAAGTCAGGACAGGTGAGGGGCTGAGCCAAGGTGAGTCAGAGCAACCACTGGCATGCACGTGATCTATGGCTGGGAACAGGCCCAGATGGGGAGCTAAGGGGACAACCCTAGCTGGGTTGAGGTTCCCACCAAGGGGCGCATGGATTGGAATTGGAGCTGCGTTCTGATCGGAAAATGGTTGTAGTCTCCCTTGGCACAGGTGTGGACTGGAATTGGATGCACTGAGCTGGACCAGACTCCAACACCCTCTGGTCTCCTGGAGGACCAGGGTAGATGTGGGATGGACTAGGCTAGGTCTCAACCCCTACTGAACCATGTGTGAGCCATATGTGGGTATGGACGAGCCATGGCTGGGTTGAAACATCCAACAGCAAGGACCAGTTTGGGTTGAAGGCCAGTCAGGAAAAGCCACTGTCCCTGCTAGGACAGGAGGTAAGCTGAGTAGGGCTGCCTCATGGATCCACTGGTATGCGCAAAATCTGGCACTGGGAGAGGTTCTGATGGAGGAGCCTGGGCAACTCCTCTGGTAGGACATAGACCCATAAGCTAAGCGCAAGAAACATGATAGGAAACAGCCCAGAACAGGCCATGGAAAGTTACCCACTGGCATACATTTGGCATGGGTCGGGGGCAGACCAGGCTGAATTGGTTCACATCATCCACTGGCAAATTCAAGCACCAGAACAGTGTGGGTCCAGCTAGGTTCGGTCGCAACAAAAACTAGTGCACAATACGGAATGCCAAAGTGAGGTTGCTTGTACCGGATGTGACCACAGCGCCCAATCAGCACATGTGAGAGGCAGGAAGGGAGGGGGCAGAGCCGGCAGGGGGAATATAGGGAGGTTCCCTTGCTGGATAGCTACTCCCACTGGAGAGCATGAGCTGGGATGGGGGCAGACCAGACTAGGCAGGGCTACAATACCTGTGCGCCTCATGTGGACTAGATCAGGGAAAAGCCAGGCTGGGCTGATTATTCCTAGTGGTGCAAACAAAATTAGAATGGGTAAGGGCTATTTGGGCTTAGCTGCAGCATCAGCTGGCAGAAGCTGGCACAGGGGTCTAATTCTGTCAAGTCAAACCACAGAACTATCTGGAGAGTGCATAATCTGGGAGTGGGAGAGGCCTGGGAGGGAAATAGTAGGCTCCTCCCTCTTGGATTACCACTTCCACTGGAGGGCATGAAAACTAGGACAGCGGCTGGAGTGGCTAGTCAGACACCCAACAGCGTCTGTGTGGGCTGCATAATGGATCTGGTTAGAGGGAACAAAGCTTTAATACCCATGGACATGTATGAGAGCCAAATAAGGTGTGGGACAGACTGGACTACTGCTACACATACTGGCAAACCAGGGTAGGGGCGGTCCTGGTGGGGGTTATTATGGTTGGCTGTAACTAGGCTGTAGCTCCTACTGGTTTATGCGAAGGCCGAGTATGTGCTGGGCAGAACCAGGCTGGGCTGCAACACCCATTGGTTCCAGTGGAAGTCGGGAGTGAAAACAGAACCAACCCAGCAATTGCAACCACCAGCTGATTGGGACAATGGACTGTGCCAGGCCCTGCACTTGCTAGCACATACAAGAATCTGGTTGGAGAACACCTCAGAGAAAGTTTCTTTGGAGATCTCCCCAATCGAAATGCTGGACTCAGAACCCTAACCAAGAAAAGACAGAAGACAGAACAGGTCAATCAACCATCTCAGCTATAGGTTGGCAGCGAGAAACGGGGCAAACGGAGACTCTTTGATGGATTGCATCAATCAGTGGATTCTTCAAAGATCTCATAGTGCTTGGAGTGGCAAGATTGGCAGCGATTCCTAACTGGTGAATTATCAAAACCATTTGAGCAAGAACCTCAGAGCATGCACTACATCCAGGACCTGGGGAGGGTGGGAAATTGGGTGGGCCTTCTCCCTTAAACACCCCTTTAAACATGAAGGAAACAATATGGAAAAAATAATAGTCTTACCCACTTTCCTATAGCCCTTGAACCTTTGACCATAAATAACTATGTAAAGATTGTCAAAAATATAATAAAAATAAATAAAAAAGAAAAGAAAAGAAAAGGAGTTGGCAGTCCACGCTAGTGCTCAGGGGCTTGGGTTTTGGAGGTGGATTGTTGAGTTCATATCATGGTTTGTCCCCCACTGGCAGTGACCTCACATGAGTGCTTTAAGCTTCTCTGAAGCACATCTAGACATTAAGGATAATGAGGATAATTACCTTATACGGTTGATATGGAGATTCAGTGAAACCATGGATCTAAGGCACTTTGTGTAGGATTTTAGTAAAGATGGAAAATATTAATTATTCTATCTGTGTGTCAAACATTAAATGAATGGGAAAAAGTTAGCTACTAATAATTTATTGGATGCTGGTCTTGGAAAGAAAGGTCAAGGGAGAAAGAGTTGAAATAAACCATTCGACAACATACCAGACTCATGATCAGATAAGAAGTATTGATGGGTAGAGAAAATATATGAAACATTGCAGACTGCGGTTTTTCAGAATTGTGTTGCTTGCAGAGCAGTGGAAAAAATGTTTGCTTAATTAGTGTGATTTAAGAGTTTGTGCTGTTATATGATTATTTTCATTTGCTAGGCTTGAGTTTGAAGAAGCTGAAGACCCCGATTTTACAGCATTATGTCAGAAATTAAAGATACCAGATCATGTCAGAGAAAGAGCTTGGTTAACTTGGGAGAAAATTTCATCTGCTAATGGAGCATCGGTAAGGATTTTCTTAAAATTTTTTGAAAAAAAATGTAAAAAAATAGTTGCAAACCACTGTAGAAAATTTGAAAAGTACACAGAAATATATAAAATAATTCTATTATCCAAATATAGTTTGCTTCTGATAAAATTAAAAAGGCTCAGAATAAACTTCCCATTTTAATGCAAATCATAGATATATTTGCTTGCAAGTACTTCACTATTATGTAAGATTTAAAAATATTGTATGTTATAAAATGATTTTATACTATCTATGCAGTCAGTGTTAATATTTTTTTATTGTCTCAGAATTAGCTTTGTTAGAGTTCAAGATTTTTGATAATAGTTTAGTATCTTTTTCTGTTTTTTTTGTAAATGTATGTGTGTGTATAACAATAACAGCAGCAACTAATATCTAGTGCTTTAATGTATCAGAAGAAAATTATAACTGCTTTGCAAATATCTAACAATCTTTTGAGGTAACAGCTATAAAATATTTTACATGTAAAATTTAAAATATTCATTTGAGAGATGAAGAATGGAAATATAATAAAGTAACTAGACTTAAGATCCCTAAGAAATAGGATCCCAAATGCAAGATGTGGGAATTATACAAAGATATCTATGTGTATGCACATATTTACATAGTTACATGTGGCTACATATAATTTTGTATGTTTTTTGCTTAACATATCATAGATACTTTATTCATTTTTGGTAATATGGTTTCTGGTAGTAGTATAATCTTTTATCTGTTATCTGTATTTTCTTTGTTAACCCTATTTAGTATTAGTATTTAGTATTTAGTTTTTTTCTTCAACTTTCTGATGCTTTTAAAAGAAAGTAATAAGCATCTATATTAATGCTTAGCTCAGAATAAGTCCTTGGCAATTTGTCAACTTAATTAATTAGTGAATCTGTTATTATTTTATTAGAATCAGTTCTTAGAAATTGAATTATTGAGTCTAAACTATGAAAATTTTGTCACTAAATTACACTCTGTGACTTCTTCATCAGCAAACTTGAGACTAAACAAAACAACCGAATTGCCAATGACTAATTTTTTTGATGAATGGGTTAAAAAATAGTTACTAGGTTATGACTGGGGTGTTAACGGCCAACAAGATTATTGACTATTTCCTCTGAAGCTAAAGTTGTAAGTCAGAACATTGCAAAACATAAGGGCAGAACGAAAGTCCAATATAAACCTCTCATAGGACTATCTTGAGAGAAGCAAGGGAATGCATCTTTCTGGTAAACTGAAAACTGGAATGGATGTCCAAAACGCGTTAGTGCATACAAACACCTGCTGTTGATTGTGTTAATTGTGCCTGGAGAGTCCAAAGGTGGAAGAATAGTTCCCTGGCCTGGTAACGTTCAGGGACAGATTGGAGGAGTAGAGGCTGGGGCTGCGCTATGGGAAGTGCTCTTCCAGAATAGGCTGCGCAGGAGATCCGTGGAGTAACTACAGGCAGTGTAGCTGAGATGTCCCTTCCCGCTCATGACCCTCTCCTCTGATTCAGAAAGTAATTAGTGTTAAAGGAAATTTAGATTTGTTGTTGTTTAGGTACGATCTAGTGTCTCTCCATTTCTCGTTGTGATGTGGCATGTCGCTGCCTGTGGAATCATGTTCTGATCACCAAAAGTCAATGCATAAGGCTGTTGTTACCATTTGTTAATGTGTTTCCGCTTGGAGCGAAATAGCCAGGACAGCGGGAACTCTTGAAAGCACACTGGACGTTTGCGCTGTCTTCTGACTCCACCTGCTGAGGGCAGTGGTGGCGTGCAGACATGGGAGAACTGGGCACGATCCCGGTCCATTCAGGGTGGTGTACAGCCATCGGCAAGCCACCGTACGTGATACCATGTCCCGGCCTGCAGGCATTTCCAAACCGCGGCAAACTGGTTGTGCGTAAATATCCGAGGGAATTATGCCCGATCCTTTGCTGGTGATGTACAACCAACGGCAAACGATCGCTTGTGCGATACCGTGCACTGTCCTGCGGGCATTTCGGAGCCATGGCAAACTGGTCGCGTAGTGACATTTGGGGGAACTGCGCACAATTATGGGCCCTTGGTTTATAACCTTGGACAAGCCACCTCGCGCAATGCTGTGGCCCGCCCTGCGGGTATTTATGAGTCTCCTTAAAGCTCGGGGCGCACATAGGCTCTGGCAGACCGTCGCCGAAGACCCTGTGGAGCGCAAGCACCAATGGACCACCATGGATGCCCCCACTTGCAAGAAGGCTCTGGGAAAAGTTGTGAATCGCCTGTGATGAGAAGGCACCGGGTGGTGAGTGTGGATGTGCTGGTACCCCGAGAGCCGGTTGCAGACCGCCAGTGGCGCGCTGGCCACCATGGACAGCGGCTGAAGGTGCCTTTGATGCTGGACTGGTGCTTGGGCTGTGGCGCTGCTCGCGCACACACCTCAGCGCGTTTCTTGACAGCCAGGCAGCTTATTTGCTCTTTGTGTTTTCTTTCTTTTTTTTTTTTTTTTTAAAGAATTACATTTATTGCATATTTGAGAAAATATAATTTGTAAATAAATTTTCTTTCATTTCTAGATTTCTAAAAGTTTTTAATCAAAATGAGTTTTTTTTTAATATTTTTTATTTTAACAATCTTTACATGGTTAATTTGTGCATAAAGGGTCAAGGGCTGCAGGAAAGTGGGTAAGACTATTATTTCCATATTGTTTCCTTCATATATCTGAGGTAGAGGGGGATATTGAGGGAGAAGCCCCACCTGATTTCCCACCCACCCCAAGTCCCGCATGTGGGGCATGCTCTGAGATACTCATTGAAGTGGTTTCAATAGGTCACCAGTTTTGAAATTGCTGCCAATCTTGCCTCTCCAAACACGATGAGGTTGTTGAAAAATCCATTAATTGACATTGTCCATCATAGCGTCTCTATTTGCCCGGTATTTTGTTGCCAACCTATAGCTGAGGTGATTGATTAACTTGTTCCATCTTCTGTCCCTTCATGGTTTGTGTTCTGAGTCTGGCATTTCAATTGGGCAGATCACCAAAGAAACTTTGTCTGAGGTGTTCCCAGGCCAGATATTCGTATGCACCAGCAAGCACAGGGCCCAGCACAGTCCAATACCCAGTCAGCTGGTAGTTGCAATTGCTAAGTTGCTTCTGTTTTCAGCCCCGCCTTCTACTGGAACCAATGGGTGTTGCAGTCCAGCCTGGTTCTGTACAGCACATACTTGGTCTTCACCTAAACCAGTGGGAGCTGCATCCTGATGAGAGCGGCCCACAATAACCCTCACCAGGCCAACCCCCTACCCTGGTTTGCCAATATGTGTGGCAGACCAGTCCAATCTGATCCACATCCCCCTGGTTGTCGTACATGGCAAATGGCATTGAAGCTAGGATCCATCTACCCAGCTCAACAGTCAAGCCTTCACAGGTGTGGTTGAGTGCCTCTCTGTCTAGCAACCTCAGCCCCTGTCCTAGTTATAGTGCCTTCCCGTGGCAGCGGTAACCCAAGGGGGGGGGTTGAAAAAAAATTCCCCAATTCTCAGAAAACCTAGATAGATTTTGTCCTATCTTCCTGAAATGAGTATAAAAAGGATTTATCAGACACCTTGGGAATTTTTTTTTTAAAGATTTATTTATTTTTATTACAAAGTCAGATATATAGAGAGCAGGAGAGACAGAGAGGAAGTTCTTCCATCTGATGATTCACTCCCCAAGTGAGTGCAACGGTGGGTGCTGTGCTCATCCGAAGCCAGGAGCCAGGAGCTTCTTCCAGGTCTCCCACAGAGGTGCAGGGTCCCAAAGCATTGGCCTGTCTTGGACTGCTTTCCCAGGCCACAAGCAGGGAGCTGAATGGGAAGCGGGGCCACTGGGATTAGAACCGGCGCCCACATAGGATCCCGGCGCATTCAGGCAAGAACTTCAGCCGCCTGGCCTGGAAATCTTTTCTTTGATAGAATTACAGTGTGAGAATGTTTTTCCCCTCTGGACACATTTTTGAGTTAGGGTATGTTATTTTATTTTTTAAAAGATCTGTTTGTTCAGCCCAGAACAGGCCATGGAAAGTTGCCCACTGGCGTACTTTTGGCATGGGTCGGGGGCAGACCAGGCTGAATCGGTTCACATCATCCACTGGCAAATTCAAGCACCAGAACAGTGTGGGTCCAGCTAGGTTCGGTCGCAACAAAAACTAGTGCACAATACGGAATGCCAAGGTGAGGTTGCCTGTACCGGATGTGACCACAGCGCCCAACCAGCACGTGTGAGACATGTATGAGAGCCAAATAAGGTGTGGGACAGACTGGACTACTGCTACACATACTGGCAAACCAGGGTAGGGGCGGTCCTGGTGGGGGTTATTATGGTTGGCTGTAACTAGGCTGTAGCTCCTACTGGTTTATGCGAAGGCCGAGTATGTGCTGGGCAGAACCAGGCTGGGCTGCAACACCCATTGGTTCCAGTGGAAGTCGGGAGTGAAAACAGAACCAACCCAGCAATTGCAACCACCAGCTGATTGGGACAATGGACTGTGCCAGGCCCTGCACTTGCTAGCACATACAAGAATCTGGTTGGAGAACACCTCAGAGAAAGTTTCTTTGGAGATCTCCCCAATCGAAATGCTGGACTCAGAACCCTAACCAAGAAAAGACAGAAGACAGAACAGGTCAATCAACCATCTCAGCTATAGGTTGGCAGCGAGAAACGGGGCAAACGGAGACTCTTTGATGGATTGCATCAATCAGTGGATTCTTCAAAGATCTCATAGTGCTTGGAGTGGCAAGATTGGCAGCGATTCCTAACTGGTGAATTATCAAAACCATTTGAGCAAGAACCTCAGAGCATGCACTACATCCAGGACCTGGGGAGGGTGGGAAATTGGGTGGGCCTTCTCCCTTAAACACCCCTTTAAACATGAAGGAAACAATATGGAAAAAATAATAGTCTTACCCACTTTCCTATAGCCCTTGAACCTTTGACCATAAATAACTATGTAAAGATTGTCAAAAATATAGTAAGCAAAAATAAATAAATAA